ACGGCTACTCAGGCCTGGCTAAATCCTATAAACATATTTGCATAAGTCTCCTGTGGCAAGCTCCTTAGATCCGTTACCGTTTCAAAGCGTAACGCATGAGTCATAAGCTTGCAAAATCAAAAAGCGAGAAGAACGAGCATATTTGTTATACATTGCTTGATTAATGCTTGTCATAAGCATAAACTCCATCGTCAATATGGCTGTAGCGTAACTGATTTGGATCGCTGGGCACGGTTGATAGCGCAAAAACAATATTTTTTTGTTATATTGTGTCTTAATGCCGTAGAAAGTGAAACAATTTTAACGCTAATGGCAGATAATAGAGGATCAAAATATGTGTATGGCTAGCTCAGTTTTTACGCAACACTACCATATCTAATGTTTTATTCTTTGTCATATTTGTTCTTTTTTTTTGTTATCTATTATGCCCACAAACTAAGGTTATTTTCATATTTTTAGACTGTGCCTACACATCGTTTGGCATCCCTGCCTTCTGGTTTTACCAGCGATAGGCCGTACGCCACCGAGTACGCGCTCGCTTTGGTTCAGCTTCCCACGGATAATGAAGACAAGGAAGAGGCTCTTCGCTTGTTTGCCGAAGACGTGCTTAACCGCACTGTTAAACTAAATGTGGAACTAAAACCTGCAACTGGGCCGGCATTAGCAACTGTGCATGATGCAGCCACCATAGCCGACATTGGTAAACAATTGGTAGCTGACGGTTATGTGTTAGCCGAGAAACGTCGTGAACGTAAGCTAAAAGATTTGGTGGAGCAGTACAGAGCAGCCCAGCAAACTGCATTGGCTGCGCATTTGGGCATCTGGAAATATGGTGACATCACCCAAGATGATGCGCCTGAATTCAGCCGCTAAAACGGACGTGCGCGATAGCGTTTTAAATGTTTGTCTGCCACATACCCGCCCTTCAAAACAACAACATTCATAGCTACATGCATACATACATGAAAGAGATAATGATGAAATTAAACTGAGGTATAGTAAGAAGAAAAACAGTAAAATGACGAGAACTGATTTAAAAAACACTATAGGTGAATAAACAACTAGTAGAGATTCATCAAGTAAATGAAGTAATAGGAAGAGCCCAGAATATACATACATGTACACTATATGTGTACACTTCAAAAGCGACGCAGTTGTGCATTTAAAATTAAGACAAAAACTTCTTTGTACACAGTGCAACAACGTCGACAATAAATACACTCCACAGCTGGACTTAAAGATCAATGTCTTATATTGCCAATGTAGAAGTATCTAGACGAGCTTCGCATTTAAATACATAACTTCCATGGCCACGAAAATTGTAAAACAAATAAATAAAATCCAAAATTTTTTAATGACAAATTGTTCTATTATGGTATGTCTAATATCCTAAAGCTTCCCTATGGAAATCGGAAACAATTAAAAGAAGTATAGAAGGAGAATTGAAAAATTTAAATACCATGCTGCGCACTCACGTCTATTATTGCTTATGTATGCTGTTAAATCTTAAAAAATATAAGCAGTTTGACGTTTAACTACAAAACTATTAAAAAACCATTTAACATTTATGATTATATATTTTTCTTTACTATAATTTTTTATTAAAAAATTGAGAACATGCTTTTATGAATTCAATTCATTGTTTTTCTAAATAATCTTTAAATCAATAAATTACAAATACAGCCAATCTATATTATGCAATATAAAAATAAAAATATTAAATAAAAGCACATTAGGTAGAGGGTTAGTGTGGGTTAAGTCCTAAATGTAAAAAAACACAAAGCATCTCTTTTATTTCTAAACCTTAGTAGATTGTATTGTCAAATGTGTGCAACCACGGTTAGATGATAGTTTTCAACTAGGTTGCGCCGATTAACCTTTTCTTCTAGTGCGATTCGGAAATAAAAAAGGTTTTTCCTTTGTATTTTTAACCGACTTCAAAAAAGGTTGACGTTATCAATCCGTCGGAAATTTTTGTTGATGTATGTTGCCGCATAACTTTGGACCATGTTAACCGTTTTCTATTTCTTTTTTTTTTTAAGGAAAGGTGGTACTCAGGTGGTCCCATACTAATTTGGCTTAGATCCGATAATTGAATCATGCAAGAATTAACGGTACTCTTAAAATTTTATATGAGAATTGAAGTCGGTTTTTTTTTTCTTTAAAAATTACTTGTTACATTTAGGGCTTCACCCTGTGGAACTAAGTTTCTTAAACTTTAAGTTCAGAAATGAAATCTGAGTCTTACTTTTACTGCGATTCGAAAAGTAAAGAAATCATCGTGCTCTATTCGCGTTAGGTGCATTCAATATAAAAAAATGTTTACGAATTGTTACTAGTACTTGCAAGTTCTTACTGGAAATGCATTCAATAACCCAAAATATTTGCAAGAGATTGCGAATTCGAGAACGTAACTCGAGAGAGCTGCAAAATCTTGCAAGTAACAATTTTACTAGCAGGAATTAGCAGGAGTCAAAAAGTAAGGTTATGTTTCAAATTCAAATGTAAACAAACTGTTTAAGAGAACGATTTGATGAAACATAATTAGTGAAATGAAATGTGAAAACTTTAAATCTATTGAATATTTTTTTTATGACGATTTGAACTATTCATAATTAAAAAGTAAATTGCGCGCCAAAACTTAACCTATAGAAAGTGACAAAATAGCTTAAGTTGCAAGTTTTTACTAGTTTTGCGTTAATAACTTTCTGAAAATTTTCTCTTGCTCTGAATTTTACTCCCAGTTGCATTCAATTTTCGATCTTCGCTTGTTATCGAAGCTGCACTTGTTGCAAAGAGTGATATTCCATTGGATTTCAAGGTTTTTGCTGTTGTTGTTGTAACAGCATACAAATTCCCCAAAGAGTTTTTGGGGAGTGTTACTGGAGTGACAGTCCTTGGTCAGATATAAATCTGGGTCGTTCCGGTTACGTAGACCCGACAGTTATGGGTCATTCTCAGAACATAATTTAGTAAGGCCTTCTTAAGTAAAGCCATTCTAAGAAGTCTTTTTAAGTGAGCAGGTCGTTCAGATACAGCAGAAGGCATCTTTTCGGGTATAAGACCGAGGTCCAGACCTATAACGAAGAACAACTGGACCCGACGATGTGCGGAACACACTCATGTTGGCGGGTTTCGCCGGGTTCAGCAGTGGCGGCGTAATTGTTAATGTGCAACTTCGTTTCTTGGATCGCTGCTATCAGTATGCCATGTCGACCCATAAGGACATTTCACCTTTGTTTTATCGTTCCCACGACAGTCGAGTCTACGTAACCGGAACGACCCAGATTTATATTTGGTCAAGGACTGTCACTCCACCAACACTCCCCAAAAACTTTTTAGGGAACTTGTATGTTGCTACAACAACAACAACCTTTGTTTTATATGGTTATTTTTATTCAAATGTTAATTAAAGATAAGTAAGCCAAATAGGGTGGCCGCTGTGGTGTAGTGATTAGCAGTGCACGCTACCACTCCGCAGGGCTTGAGTTCAAAACCTGGTCAAAGCAACATAGCAAAAAAAAATAATAATTGAAAAAAGGTTTTCTGAAGCAATGGCAAACCTCCGAGTGTATTTCTGTCATAAAAAACTGGTTTTCATAAAAATACAACCGTCATGCGGAGTCGACGTAAAACGGTAGGTCCCTCTTTGTGTGACAACATCAAGGCGCACGCTACAAATCGGAGGAGGAGCTCAGCCAAACACTAACATATGTGTAAGCGTCAATCTATTATTATTATTAAGCTAAATAAGGAGAGCGGTCAGTTAACAGAGCCAACTAAATTTAACGGACTGAGCATCAATATGCGCACCGTCTTCAAAAGAGTCAACTCAAAATAATACGTTCGTCAGAAAATGCGAAAAACTATTTCGTAGCACATGCTAATCATATGGGCAACGGGGACTTTACCTTAGGTTTTCTTTTAACAAATTAAAACAGAAACTTGCTCCAGCTTTTGCTGAAAGGTAAATAAAGCTCTGTACATTTTTAGCGCATAATTTCAAAAATGCTAAATTTTGAGTTACGACTCTTTTGTCGTTTTAGAAAATGAAACACTGAAGACAATCTGCATTTTCTTGAGCAAATGAATTTATCTTTATTTCATAAAGTTATGAATTAGCATACATAAAAAATCATCTTCAAATGTATGTATAAAGGCTCAGTTCGTGTCATCGACACGAGACCGATTAGAGAATTACCCTAGTTATCTAATGTAGAAATCAAAACTTCTCTAACGTTAGAGACTGTGTTTGCCGGGCATAACTTTGTGCAATATTTCACAGTTGTATATGGTTATAGCGAACAAACAAAACTCAACAACATGCATCAATAATCGTTTACCGAGCTGCAAAGAGAACTTGAGGCATTTTTCCCTCCTTTGCTACGCTCTGTTAGCCATAATTTTAATGTGTTTGGCCCACCTTGATACCAATACCCCTAGACCATTTAAGGAATTAATTTATATTTTAAATTGCATTGCCATCGTTATTGGAACTATGCTGAACGTTTCAAGTCTAGCTTGCCGGGAAGTTAATTTAAAAGCTTGTAAAAATAGCAGCTTTTCAGCTTTTTCTTTTATAATTTTATTCGCAGAAAATAATACCAATATTTGTAAAGAACTTGCCATTTGATAATCGTAAAGCAACAAGCATAAGTGCCTAAAATAATGTATAACCTGCGGAGTCGGAACTCGAATTTTCTTTTCTCTTCTGCAGGGAAAATTCTTTTCATTGAAAATTTGAACTTAAGACTTTTTCTCGAAAAAAAAATAATTCTCCAAGAAATCGTCTCGCCGGCAATATTTGGAATTGGTCTATATGTATATGTATTATACGCAGATAAAGAAACGTCTTCTCAGTGTAGAATTAACTCACATGAAATTGTTGGAGTTAACTGACTGAATGATTCTGAGGGACACATGTAGGGCTGGGTTAGCTCCAAACTGCTTTTACCCTGTGGTCGTGCATATAAAATGTATAGAAATTGTAAAAAACTTTCTTTACTTTTCATTTTAATATCATTTTTAAAAACGTATGTAAATGATAAATTTACAACTTTTTTACAGTGCAATACACTTATCACATTTTAACTTAGCGCCTATAAACAGGCTTCGACCATCGTAGGCCTTTTTCATTTCCTTTTGTACAACATTTATAATACTCAGATATGCATTGTGCCATATACACTCACTGGTTGTATCCCTGCTCTTCTGTTGATTGAGTAGTCTAAAAGGTATTTTCAAATTAGTACTATTTTTTTATATCTATTTGTAGAACTGACCTGCATAGATAAATCAGAGGTGTATAAAGCCTATCAATTTCGTGTGCCTTGACCATTTCCTCAGCATGAGATGCAATCAAGTTGATATCATATGTTTCTGGCACATTTGTACTTTTTACCCAAGCTAACAGTAATTCCATGCAATTTGCTTGCATGAATAAGTTATCAGGAGATACTTGTGTTCTAGGACTTTCTTTAACATCACTGCCAGTTGCTTGGCCATATTTTTCCCCTGCAGTTCCATCTATGGATATGCTTTTTGGATGCAGAAAATCCTTTTCAACTTCCAAACGCAACGATTGAGGCAATGCATCCAAAAATTCCGGATCTATATACATCGTTGATTTAGTCTCTTTCAATGTGTGTTTCTTGTGCTCTTTTTCTTGCGCCTTGCGCTGCTGTTTCAGCTGAGCTGCTTTAGATGTGGATGGCTGAAAATCGCTCTCATTTAAAGACCGACATAGTATTTCGCTCTCAGCTAACTTTTGTGAGGAACTGCTATGAGCTTGTAATATTTCGGCACGGATATCCAAAGGCAGAGCCGCAAAAACGTCGGGATCTATATCTTTGGGTATGGTGACACTAATACCCAAATTGACACTAGGCAAATCAGGCTGCTTTGCAGCGGCCTTTTGCATTAAATCTAATATATCTGGACCTTTTTTAGATTTTTTCTCAAATAAGCTGCCAACGGGTCTGCCACGCGTACGTTTCCCCATGAGTTTACTAGTCACCTCGTCATTTTGTACATTTAAAGGTGCATTACGGTTTGATATCTCATTTTCATTATTTGTGGCACTGCCGTTGCTGTTATCATTTTGGATTGGACCTATGATCTCTAAATAATTGATTCTTATTATGAAGAAAAGCTAGTCTATAATATGTAAGATTAAATTACACTGGGTCACAAATTTTAATTTGGTTTTTGTTCTCCAGACGCCACTATCCAATTTCTATGTAGAATTGTTCGGTGATTCCGAAATTCGGAATTGGATAGTGGCATCCATAGAACATTTTTGCCGTAAACCAGTGTTATTTACCTTTTTGCTTTCCTGCCACCTTGCTAAACATATTCAGTATAACATTATTTTTTCGTTCTTTATTCTCGTTAGGATCATTTAGTTTAGAAAGTTGGATACCAATGCCACGCAGCTCGTTTGGCGAAAGTTCTAAAGCCTTCATAGTTGTTAACACTGTACGTGTAATCGTATCTAGGTCGCAAGTGTAATCCGATAATGAAACTGATTTTGTTATATGATCACAAACTCCATGACCCATAAATTTAGCAGCCTCTCGTGGTGCGTCCTTGGCGCGCACCATTAATTTAAGCGTAATACATTTCGTCCTGCGTTTTATATCGCTCAGACGGATATGTACTTCGGTGCATAATTGCCGAAGAAACGTTTCTAGCTCACTAGATTCTTTAAAGCGAATGCCATAATTCACTTCCGCTGAAACGGATTTACGTATCTGAAAAAAAAATCTTTAAGCTTTGCATATACTTTAGACATTTCTTACCTGTCCATAGATAAGGGGCCGGCTGTCGATACCACGGCAAAATTGATAAAGTGTTTCCCCAAACTTCTTGCCAACATGCATTTGTAATTTTGACAACGAAACCTTTTGAAGATCCCCACATGTTACTAAATTGTTCTGCTTCAATATATAGGCAGTGCTGCTTCCAACCCCGGGCAAATCTTTTATATTTATATCAGCCATATACTCCTCGGCACCATCTGGACGTAAGAGGTACTGACCATCTGGTTTGGCGCGTTTGGTAGCCATGCGAGCTTGCAACCTAAATGTGATATATTTACGCAAAATGCTAAACTAGCTAAATTAAACGTATGTACTTATTTCCACCAACACCTGCAGAACATGGACATCCAGTTTTTGTGCGAACTTCTTCACGCACATAAAATACGAAATCCATTGGATCCACTTTGATTTCATCTAATACATCCGCTAGATCAACAAACATTTCATCACAACTGACTGCCTCGATATTTAATGTGTACTGAGCTATGGTATCATATAAAGTGTGCGAAACTTCGCGATAGCCTTCAAAGTCATATGGTATTGTCTTTAACTCAGGACATAAATTTAAAGCTTGTCCTACAAACATGCCATTACGAATGCCTCTTGCACGAGCTTCATAACTACATGAAGCTATCTCAGAAAGAGACATTTTAGCTTCGAAACCGCTGCGCACCTTATCTGATAGTATATTATTGTGTAGGTGTTCTTCAAAACGCTTTGCAAACAATTCTCCTTCGATTTTGCGGTCAACGCCAGGATGAATAGGTACTGCGTTGGCACTTGCCCCACCTATAAATTAGAGCCCAAGTAAATTTTGTGCAGTTTACATCTCAAACTCATTGTAACATAATTTTCCCAAATGTTTTTGGATACGTTACTGCCGAAATTTCTATTACAAATAAATTAAACCAACCTCACAGTTACCAAATTACTCGTAATATACAAAAATCTAAGCACCTTTGGAATGTGTGACAGCCACTGGTTGACCCTTCAGTTCCGGATGTTTGCGTAGTCCCACCGAAACAAAGAAGCAGTCCATGTCAATATGCATGACCCATGAAATTGACGGAATATTGGTGTTGGAGTTTGGAAGTAGCCGCTGCTTTAATTCTGAGCGCGCTAGAAACTTTTTTGAGCCTTGCTGATCACGTAAATCAGAAATGTATTGTTTAAAACCTGCGCCTAGCGTTGCAATGTGATGTAATCGGGAATTATTGTAAAATTCCGAAAGAAACTTTGGATCTACAGCAGTACGTGCGAAATCCTTTTCAATTTGATTGTTATCAGTTTTCAGAGCTGTGTTGTCTTTACTTCTGATTTCATTAGCATCTTTGACAAGTTTGGCCTGATTTTTTGTTTCATCTTTATTTTTCTCAAAGGCTAAACGTGGCTGGGATTTATTTTGGTTTGTATACAATAGATACCTTGTGTAAGAAAGAATACGCATTTCTTTTACGCAGTCCACGACCCACTGAGGACTTATAATTTTACCAGTGTTCATATTTCGTACTTTTACATCCGGCAAATTCGAAGCGATAATGTATGTGGTATGTGATCGTTCATAATGATGGTAGGTACCACCGTGCACCATCATTATACGTTTCAGTTCATCCGCTGAAGGAATAGTTAGACCGTTGACGTAAATTGATATTCCAGCAAACAAATTTGAACGTCGATAGGGGTTACTAGAAGCTGAAAATTGCTCTTCCAGCTTGGTAATTTTGGCTTCCATATAGCCGCCCTATACAAAATAGATATATGTACATATATTTTTTTAGAAAGCCATTATATTAATTTTTACCCATTGTTCGAATCCATTTGCATTCATATTTTAAGCCAGTATTCTATTTATTTGAATTGATCTAAATCCAATAAATTACTCAGGCGGAAGGTACAATGAATACCCCTTGCTGAAGCGCGATTTTTCAGATGATTGTTTACTAGGGTTGCGCNGAGCGGTGCGAGAGAGACAACTGTCAGTTTATCGAACCTTGTATTATTGAATCATGGGTTGCGCGATACCGATACGATATTCAATATATCAATATCGCATGCATGATTCAATAATACAAGGTTCGATAAACTGACAGTTGTCCCTCTCGCACCGCTCCCTTAGCAGTGGCACCGTGTTGCTTCTTTGCAAATTTACATGGAAACAGTGTAGCTTTGGTGTGAAATAAAAGTATAAGCTTTTGTGCAATATGTTTATTTGTATATGCATATGAAGCATATTTAACTGATGAAAACATAAGCAATGGACGTTTACATCAATCTCATAGTAGTCTTATTTTAATTTTGAGTAATTTTGCAGTTTAGCATATAAATTACGTAATTCACGTAGATATATCAATATTACGTTCAACATTTCGTTTAAAATGCCAGATTTCCTGCAAATATATTAGAATTTACGAAAGGAACTTCACTACTAATTGCCTAATTTGCGTACTTTTCTACTACCATTTTCGAAACAAGGGATTGCATTCTTGCCCTTTCTCTGGCCTTCGTAAATGCAACCTTTTGTAAGGGAGTGTCAAACCGCAGCTGTCAATAATTATCTAACCTTGTATTATTGAATCATGTCAATATCGTTGTTCAACATATCGGTTAATTTATATCGATACCAGGTGTTGCGATACGATATCGATACAATATTTTGTTTCGATATTTGAAATATCTGAAAAGTTTCTCCACGTTCTCTAGGCTTCTGAAGTGAAAATAAAATTGAGTACATAGTAGGAAAATGTGTTCGTTCTCGCAAAACAGCTTTTGGCATAGTAACCATGAAGAACACAAACCATGAAGAACACAAATTCATAAAAATATCAAAATTGCCTAACCAGTTCGCAATTCTCATTAAATAAATGCTCGTAAAGGTATTTCTTCAAGAAAATCTACAGTAAAGGCCAAATACTTCTTGCATAAAAATAATATTAGCTAACCAAGACAAACCAAAGCTGCTGTATGGCATTTTAGGCTTTAGCAGATTCAATTGATCATAAAATTTTATATACCGAACAAAAACTTAAAATTCTGTTTTTTGAGGTCATCTGGAAACCCCATTGAATGGTACTATTTGTACTTCACATTTAGAAAAACATATGTTCGTATGAAAAGGTGTGTCTCTTTGAAAGTACTAGACATGCTTGTGTGCAAGGCATATTCAACAAGGTAGAAGTGACAATTCAGTCGAGCTCTCATTAATTCGGACTTTTTCTGGGAGATAAGGAACGCTCCTAGTGTGTTTGTTGTAATATGAATTCGCCTTGTTTACAACAAACACATCATTTTGACATTAATAAGTATCGCGGCGAAAATCTAAATTCGCCATCAACACCACCTTGTATAAATTCGCCTTGATAAAAACGTCAAATGCAAATGAAAATAACCGAAACATTAGGTTTGTTCGTCGAAAATCCAGCAAGAATTATCCAACACTCAAAATATCAGAGAGTAAGAAAAAATTCTCTCAAATTCTCTCTCATGTTGAGAAACTTGCAAATTTCTGCACGAACGCAAATTTGCAGGAATTTGCAAGTTTCGCTGCCAGCTGGCGTCCACGGTTGCATTTCAAACATAAAAAATTTTTATAGAATTTTTAAAATTCTTTCGGATGGCCAAAAACAGGATATACATGTATATTTCTTGTTGTTCTGACTTTCTTTAACATACATTTCAATTTCTTCATCGTACTAGCTGTCGGGTTTCTTAAATCGACTCTGGTTGCAATTGCATTCCGATTGCGAATACCATTTTTTTCAGCCGAATTAAGTTCAAATCATTGGAATTAACTAAATTAATTATATCAACAATTATTTACTTCCTTTTTTCATAAAAAAATCGCTCGTGTTTATAAATTTTTAAATTTAACGAACTAATTTATTCAAATTATTGTAGACAAAAATGCAACCATGCGCCACAACCACATGTTTTTCGTGTTTGCAAATTCTTGCTGGCAAAATTTTTTCCAGCAAGAATTTGCAACTTCTCTCCAAGAGAACTGTCACTTTGCTCTCACAATTTTTGAGTGTTGGATAATTTTTTGGTCTGCACGAACGCGATTTGGGCAAAAATCGTGATAATTCGTACAAATTCGTACAAATTTTTTGCTCGACGAACAAACCTATTGGCAGAGAATACTTAGATAAAGCAAGGATGATAAAATACGTCGTGGAGCTAACATAATACAAAATAATAATTTTATTGAGTAATTTCATGACCTATACCCAAATTCATTCTTTATACCCGCATAATCAAAGTTCAACTTCATGGAGAGGTTAGTTTCTGATGAACAGTATCTGGTGTCCCAAGCTCAAAAGCTGAGGAGCACTGATTGTGCATCTGCCAAGGCATGGTTGATAACAGCTAAGACATTGTATCCAAATAATTTTAGCATACTGGTAAGCATATGACTAGTGTAACATATTCCACCAAATAATAACCCACATTGATTTCAGTTCGAAGCATACAAGCTGGAGAAAGAGGCGAATAATTTCGAAGAAGCAGCAAAGTGTTTTAGTAATATGTATGTTTAAACATTTTAAATTTTTGCTACTTTTATTGAATTCATTTTCTTGCAGCGTATTGTCTTTCCAAACCCAAAATGTTGAGTTATGGAATGAAGTAAATGAACTTACAAACGCCCTCCGTGCACCTGAAAATGAAATCACACCATCACAAGAATTTTATGTGAAAATGTTTCAGCATGTTTCATATGATGTGCAGCACAAAATCTTACTTCTAACAGTTAATAACACCGAGAACAGTATTCATCAATGCAAGCTTTTATTGCTCATCTTAAAACGCTTTCCTCAAGCTGCTATCACTCATTCAGTAAGTTTATATTTCAAATTATAGCACTGATTACTAAGTTGTCTTTATGATGTAGCCAAGATTGCTGGAGATGATAGCAGATGGTATGAAGCAAAATCCTCAAAAGTATCAAGAAATGCTCGTGGAGGAAGCGTTGCCTCTAATTTACCACAAGACACCAGAGCTACCTCCTTTACTCGTTTGCCGGTTATTTACGATTTCATTGGAGTATTACATACGCCAAATAATTGACGATACTACCAAATGTGATAACAATGAAATATGGAAGAAGATTTTCCAAGTTCTCATGCTCTGCGGTAAAATATTACGTTGGGAAACCTATTTACCCTTCAATAAAACTTGGGGGCAAAATGTTTATTGGGATAAACTTATAGAAATTGTATCCATAAGCCCAGCAGGCAGTACTCAAGTGCTTTTCTATGCTACCACTTTATTCATTTATTCATTGCACTGCTACATCAAAAATTGTTATACACGAGCGGAGGAAGCTGATATAAATCACGTTTTGGTTGAAGGCTTCACAGGTGAGATAAAAATTAAAATTACATACATATTTGGAATATTTTAAAATATATTTACATGAAAATACAGTTGATTGGAAAGTGGAGGCTTCAGATGTACAAACTATGGAACCTCCGCAAATCTCATTGACTACGCCAATGAGCAAAGATATATCAAAAGCTTTTGTTCATGCTGCGCAATGTTGGCAACTTTTAAACACGGACCAATTTCAACGCGATTTCAGTAAACTGCTACTTACATTACCACTAGCTGCATGGATATCGCGATTCCTCTTTGATTTAGCTATCTATTTCGGTCATAAAGAGGAGGCAAAGAAGTTGATGTCCGAAATGATGGTGACTAGTAATTTAGTGCAAAATTTACAATTATTAAGTTTGAATTTGCTCCAAGGGAATTTAACGGTAAACTAAAGCTTACATCCTATTTTAGTTTTAATATATGAGCCTTTTCTTTTGGAAAGTGTGGCATAAGCTATTTCATGCCGTTTAATTTCATTAATTTCCCTGTATCTGAACGATAAAAAAGTTGTGTCATTTTATGGTAGTAGAACGATTTACAAGTGCATTTAGTTAGAAGTAACCATCATTTAAGTAACGTATGCCAATTTCAAAATAAAAGACTCGTATGTATGTATATACATACGCGTTAGATATAGCTTTTTTCATTTATAGTTACAGGGATTTGAGTGCATTGTTAAAATTATTGCCGAATTACCACCAACGCCAGGACATATTTTAGAGCATTTAACGTTAAAAGTACCCCGCCATATGATATTTATACCACTAACACAAAAAGCATTAGTGCAGTACTGTACTAAAGCCATTGTAAATACATTAAGTGTGAGTGTTTTATTAAATATAATACTTAGTGATGTTTTATATGCAACATTGTATACCTTTCAGCGGAAACTCTATGAGCCAAATTGTCCGGATGAAATACTTGGCGATTTGCTGGTCCTTCTACAACTCGAATATCCACGGGAAACACTTATGGCCGAACAAATATTTGCACTTATTACGTCGAGGCGGTCTTTCTCATATCGGTTATTTACGACGTACATAGTAACAATCGATTTTGTTGAAGAATTTATGCATATCTGGAATTCACATGATGAAGATTTTGCTTTCGATCTGTCGCCAACACAGGCCGGTTCAAGCGTCTGTCGCATTGGCACACGAGGTACAGACAAGGGCTCCCGAGACGATTTCCGTTTAATCATCAAACAACAGATAACAAGAGCAAATGAAGCTCCCACGGCATTAATCGCAAATTTTATTGCACAGGAGCATATGCAACTGATGCGAAACATGTTTGGTGTTACGGTAGCAAGCGAAGGATTTTAAATAAAAGTCTCCTTTTCTAAGCCGGGTGTAGTAATCAAAAAAAATAATGATTTTTTTTTTACAAATTGTATTCATGCCTATTACGGTATCTGACGGATCTAGTCAGATTTGCACTGTCGGAATAAGCGAGTGCGAAGGATTAGATTCGTGCGAATGGTATCTATCGGACCGGAATAGGTCTGCTTCCGAGGGATCCCATTCTCATGAAACTAATCCTTCTCATCCGCTTGTTATGACAGTGCGATTCGGATTAGATCCGTGCGAATGGCATTCGTCGGATACCATAATAGGCACGATTATTTTTGCTTAAATATCCTATGCAACATGGGTATGTTCAAGCTGGAAATCTACTGAAATTATGCAAACTTTCTTACCTAACTCGGCCAATTTTTCGCGAAGAATTTGATACTCTTTCAAAATAGGTAACATTGCCGCATTTATTACAGCACAAATACATTCCATATTTGTATGTCCCGATAAAAAAAGCGTGGTTAGAACTGCGTGTAAACTCGCATGATGATTTCCAAAAAGCGGCTTGTTAACATGGTTATATTTATGTATGTATGTATGTATATTCATATGTACTTGTATATACAGCGCCAAACTGGGAATATTTTATTAGATAATTAGACACCATGGTACAATAATAATAATTTATGTGCCTTGATTAGACACAACTTTGACTATAATGTATCACAATACGTTAAAATAAAGAAATTCAGCTAAAAATCATGTTTCATATAGGACAAGAATATGTTATAAAGCGCTGTACAAACATTTACGAACATTACTCTGTACTTTGTATCTAAATATCTAAAATTTACGTATTGTGCGACCGGCCAAACTGTCCAGTCCATTAGATAAATAATAGGAAACTTATCGCACAGCTCCGTATTTGTCTCTTCGACTGATCTCTGTTCTAGGTAACAAGCAGAGTAGAAAAATATCAAAATGCAAGCTGGAGACATAATCACTTGGTCAATTAATATTTTTTGCAATGTATTCCGCATATTCGCCACAGGCATCACATGATCCATCCATTTGTAAACATAGTGGTGAAGTGGTCCTTGTAATGCGCCCACAATAAACATTCGCCAAATACGGTTTGTATCATATCTGTCATGTTTGATGTCAAAGTCAACTGATTCAATTTTATGACGGCGGTATTCAATCTCTTGCGCAATTAAATCGCCAATAACCATTAAAATGCCGGAACTAAGAATATTAGTCGCTAATAAATACTTTCCGAAGAGTTTGTTCCAAATATTTCGGGCTAAAGTCGCGTCTGCAGAGCTTCCATTACGCTTTTGTTGGTATTCACGCCGTGGAAAAGGTCCCAATTGGGACCTTGATAACAATTTCGGTGTCCTGCTTGAGTTAACATTGGAGAGACACTTGAAAGCTACACGCGCCAACGATCCTCCATATGATCTGCTTGCCATATGGGCGAACATTGGCTGTATTTTCGTTTCGCCGAGGTTTTAGCTAATTATCTCATTTTGGTCACAGGACTTCCGAGCATTGCTTTTTTTATAGTGATTCTAACGATTTATCGATGCATCGATATATGGGCAAAAAATTCATGTTTTCCTTGCTAACACGGCTTTTACACGATTCAAGTATTCAATTGAACGGGAGTTTTATATGGGTTACAGGATCAAGAACTTGCGCTCAAGCTGATTACACACACGGTTTATCAAAATTCATTTTAGCCCTGCAAAAATCGCGACTACTCCATGCATGCATGTAAAGAGTACTCCCTAAGGACCAAAGAGTACTCCAAAATTAACCACAATTCATATAAAAAATATGGTCCAATTAACATTGCGATGTCCTAGGGCAGGACCATATACTCCATCCCTGCATTACATCAGAGTAGCACAAAACTACTCCAACATATTAACAATGGGCTTGTTGTTATATTTTTTCCTTTGTACACGCTTTTGTTCTTCACTTCTCAAATGCTTTTTCGAAATTAATAAAAACCAAGACAAAAATTAAAAATTACATGTTGCCTCTGACGGTATTCGAACCCGAACATGCTGGGAGCTAAGAACTAACAGCGAGCATCTCTACACGTTCAGCTACAGCCAGACATGCAAATGTGCTTTCAAATGCTCAACTTCAATCACATTTCGTTAAAACACGAGCAGTGATCGGATAACAAACAATAAGCTGGCGCAGAGACACGAGTGGGTCCGCTACAGCATGACAGAGGAACACTTTTGTAAGTACTCCAATTTACCATAAATAGACTACATGGTCCAACGATTTTTGCAGGGTTATAGCTAAACGGTCACTATTCTACACTTGTTCTAGAAAATTACATTTAGTATGACGAATTTTTGGTTTTATTACTAATATCACTAGAAACTGTTGAGTAAGCAACATTCTGCACAAGTAAAGGAGGGATTTTATGTGTGGGAGCGAGAAGAGTGTTTTATTACAAAACCTTTCTATTATTGAGTCATGCTATGGCCTCATCGCTTGAAACGCTTGACGTGGAGGTACAGCTTAACAAAAACAAACGAACTTGAGAAAAACGAACACAGCTTTTATTATTCTTTTTATTCTCTTTTCGATGACAGTTTATCGACGCGGAAATCAATTGGGGCTGCCATCACGATTAAAAATTTCCATTTTGTAATGCACGTAAATCTATTTACGTTCTATCATAAAAGGTAAACAGGTAATTGTTTAAATTAGATTTTTTCTATGTCAAACTCAAAATGTATTTAGCACACCTGGGTCAAACTGTTGCAAAATAAACACCTCACAGCTTATATTTGAAGACATAGAAGAGGGCTTTGCGAAGAATGATATATAAATCAAAACTGGTTTTTCATGCACATCTTTTAATCGTGCCGAGCTGGCAGCCCCGAAGTAATTTCCAATGCTTCGTGTCCACATCGTTTACCTTCCTTTTGCACAATTCCACCGTCGCGAAAAGAGCAACGTGTGTAAAAAAGTGGTCTTTGTGATTTGATTATTGAAGAAAGCATTTTTATAAAGTTTATTTGTTAAAGTTTTGCAACATTATTTGCGCCAGCAATTCTAGCAAGTGATTTGCTATTTGTTTTATATGCTTAGGTGTGAACAGCATTAGATTTCTGGTCTTACCCCCGAATTGTTTCACAAAGGACTAAGCTAGATCTTACGAGAAAATGGCCGAAGTTGAGAAAGAAGCACCAGAGAAAACTATTGCTGAAGATTTGGTGGTGACCAAATACAAATTGGCCGGTGAAATTGCCAACAGTAAGTATATTTGATCATGTTCAATTTTTATATTTACAAAATTCTATCTAATTAAAAATGTAATGCGTGTTTGTAATAATAATTTTATTTTTATTAAAAAGACAAAAAAAAGTATATATAAAAAACCTATTTGAGAAGTTCAATAAATTTCAAAAATGGACCAAGTAGAGCAAGCCACGCGGCGCATATACATTCCTAATTCAACATAACCTAAAAACCATCTAAAATTTCACCGCCGATCAGACAAATCTTTTGAACTTTTTCATGGCTCATGTTCTTATAACTTTAATTTTTATTATATACATACATACATACGTACATATACATCTCGCACATTTGTTTTAATGCTGTTGAAGGACTAATGTACATACATATGTATACAAGCTATCAGCGGGCAAACCATAATACTGCCACGCATTTCATAACATACTTATATGTAGATCTATATTTCGAATTTTAAGTCTTGCAAAGTCCTTGCACGGTGAACGGATTTCATGGTAAAAACCGGGTTTCTTATGGCAAAGCTTTGTATTGCGTGACTTCGAGAATTCCCCTTATGTATCCGAAGTAGTTTGCAAACCACCTTTAGAATATTTGTATTTATACATAGACAAAAATTATTAATTCATTTGTGAATTTGCAGAAACATTGAAAGCTATAATTGATCTCTGTGCGGCCGATGCATCCGTGCGGGATATCTGTAATAAGGGTGACAGTCTCATCGTTGAGGAAACCAACAAAGTAAGATTGAGTTTTCGTTAAAACCTTGTATGTTATATAGTAGCATTATGTCGATCTCAGCTGAGTTGCCGTTCGGTTTATTACTCCAACCCATAAAAATAAAAAAAAAAAATTGCTACTATTTTGTTGAATACTTATATGTTCGATGATTAAAAACAAGCGCGTGAGAGTTTGATTTGTCACTTGTGTTGAAAACTGCAGTAAATTCTATGAATTTCTTCTGACTGTCATTAGTTTATTTAAAGGTCAGTCTAGCGCATTTTCAATATTGCTGATACTGATGCTCAAAGATTGCAAGATTATGAGATCTGAGAACAAAGAAAATAATATTACGTTAATGCCTTTAAAGGAACTGGTCTATAACAATATTATATCCTTTTAAGGTATATAAGAAAGAAAAGGACTTGAAGAAAGGTATTGCATTCCCAACTTGTTTGTCGGTTAACAACTGCGTATGCCATTTCTCACCATCAAAGAATGATCCTGACTACACTCTAAAGGAAGGGGATGTTGTGAAAATGTAAGTGCGATTTTAAACCCATTTATATATTGATTTGGTGTGATTATGTGCCTTTATACAGGTGGCATTTCTCATAAAATTTGTTTAGGTCACTAATTCGAAATTATCAACATGAAGTAAGATATACATATCGCACACCGTCTTCAAAAGAGCCACAACTCAAAATAATACGTTCGTCAGAAAATGCGAAAAACTATTTCGTACCACATGCTAATCATATTAGCAAGGGAGACTTTACATTCGTTTTTTCTTTAATAAATAACCAAAATTTTCTCCAGGTTTTGCTGAAAGGTAAATAAAAGCTCCGTGTACATTTTTAGTGCATAATTTCAAAAATGCCGAATTTTGAATTGTGACTTTTTTAAGACGGTGTGCGATATGTACATATGTATGTATATAAGGGCTGGTTATATATTCGTATTTTAATGCATTTAAATAGCAAACTCTCGAACTCCCAACCATTTTCTTGCTTCATAGAGATCTTGGTGCACATATAGATGGTTTTATTGCTGTCGCAGCACATACTGTTGTTATTGGATCCTCTACCGAGAAAAAAGTGACTGGGCGGCAAGCCGATGTCGTTTTAGCTGCGTACTGGGCTGTACAGGCTGCATTGCGGTTATTAAAAGCGGGAAACAGCGTAAGTGTTGTAAATTTGTGATATTCATATGTATGTATATACAGATGATAGTATATTTGTACACATGTACATACATTTTAAGTATTTAGTGCTACTAATTATAGCAAGCATTGATTCGGATTTTGAAAATTTATCGAAATCTTAAAAAAATGTTTGCAAAAGTAAACGTGTTGAGCCACAATGGTGCAATGCTAAATAAATGCGTTTCCCCCTAATAATCTTCAAACATAAATTTATGATACCCTACGGTTATTAACTAATTT